ATCTGCCTTGAGAGAGTCTTTAAATCACTTTTGTTGACCACCAGCATTACGCTCCAGTGGGGAGTTTCCCTTCAACAAAGTGTAGCATCATGGCAATGAAAATAGAGTTGGGGTGATAACATATCCCTGTTTAATACTTGATCCCACTGTACATGGTTCACTTTGAGAGCCATTGTTATCTGCTATTGTTGCTGTCATATTATGGAGGAGCTGAAGGATGTTCACAAATTTATCTGGGCAGCCAATTTTCAGGAGGACAGTCCACAGGACACTACAATTTACAATGTTGAAGGCCCTAGTCAGGTCAATAAACACCATATATAGGGGTTGGTTTTGCTTTCTGCATTCTTCTTGAAGCTGTTGAGCAGTAAAAATCATATCCACTGTCCCCCTAGAAGGTCAAAAACCATTTTGGGATTCAGAAAGGGTAGCCTCAGATATTGTTAGGAGACGGTTTGCTAAGATCCTTACAAGAATTTTGCCAGCCGCAGCTAATGAAGAGATGCCTTGACGCAGTCGATTCTATCACCTTTTTAAAAGAGATTGATAATTTTGGCATCCCTAAAGTCTGCTGGGATCTCTTCTCCCAGATTTTTTTGATGAGCTTGTGAAGTTATTGTGTAAGTTCAATTCCGCCCACTTTGAAGACTTCAGCAGGTATCCCACCAGGTCCACTGGCTTTGTTGTTTTTCATCTGGTTAACAGCTGTACACAACTCTCGCATTAGAGATACTGCAAGCTCATCTCTAATTTGTATTTGTGGAATTTGTGAGAGGAGATGCTGGTAATGTTCTTTCCAGCGCAGTGCAAAACTGCAGTTTCTTTACCTTTTAGAAGTGTGGTACCATCTGTTGAGCGTAGGGGGCATATGCCATGATTTATTGGCCCATAGATGGTCTTTGTGGCTTTAAAGAAACTCTGTGCATCATGAGTGTCAGATAAGTGCTGGATCTCTTGAACTTTTTTTATCCACCAGGTGTTCTTTAGTTCTCTGGTTCTTCTTTGAACCTCAGCCTTAGTGTTAGCATAGGGGTTTTTTTAGCAGCGCCGTTTCTCTCTTTGCCAGATCTGAAGGGCCTTCCTTTTCTTGTCAATAACACATTCAATCTTACTGTCATTCTCATCAAACCAATCCTGGTGTTTCTTGGTTTGGTAGCCAATAGTTTTTTCACAGGCTGCAATAATAGATGTTTTTAGCTTGGTCCAGTGTTCTTGCTCAGGTAGACCTTTCCAGAAGAATGTGTAGCCTCATTTTTCTTCCTTCAGTTGTCCCTCACCTGCTCTTCAAGTTTCTTGAAGCGCTGCAATATTGATGTTAAAGTCACAATTCTCTTGCAATGATGGCAGTCCTGCGTTCAAGATGTTCATTATCTGTGTTATCCAACAAAGTTCATATATTCCATGTTCCAAAGTTCAATTGTCTTTTACGACCACAGGGTGGTGACCCCACTTGATGCGGTCAGGGGAAAAGGGAGGCAGACTATGTTTAGGATACATTTTCTAGCCCCTCCCCCTATTCAGGGTGAGCAGAGTAGATCCTAAATAGGACTGCTCGATCATGGGATACGGCTGCCGAGCTACTCAACTGCCGCATTCCTTGAATTAGAACAACTGAATCTGTATCCACTGCCCATGTGCCGGTTCATGACTAAAGGCTTCCAAATTTCACGGTCCTGCCCCCATTACCATTTGCCGATTGCCATGGGACTTGTTTGGGTTTGGGATGGGTTTTTGGAAGACACCTGTGCATGAATTTATGTGTGTAGATTAGTGCATGCTGACCAACGCAGAGTCTTCGCAGTAAGGCTCTATGCATGAGTATCACGACAACTGGTAGATTCTTATCTGATGCAGTCTTCACCCACCTTCACAGCCGTTGTAACATACCACTTGTTATCTTCCGCCTGTTCTGCTATTGAGGACTTCTTGGATCATTCCTTGTCCAGCTCCTCCCCTTTGACCTTACCGCCTTGGGTGACCCTGCTGGGAGTACGAGACTCCCAATGGCTTCACTCACAAGGGTCATAGGAATGTGCAAGCCCACTCACCACAACAAGGTGATGATCCAGTGAGTGAGAGCATGCATGCCACTTAACCAGGCAGTGTGGTGTAGCGATCAAGAGTGTCTGACTAGGACTGCAAGGACCTAGATTCGACTGGTGACCTAAACTCTCAGTCTAACCTGTGTCACAGGGTTGTTGTGAGATCATAAGAGGGGAGAGGGGACCATGAAAGCAACCTTGAGCTCCTTAGAGGGAAGGTAGGATATACCACTTTGAGGGGGGTTTTTTTGCAATCAATAAGCGTTTATGAAATAAATAACAAAATATAAATGTAATAAATATATTACAAATGTAGAAATAAGTCCTAGTAAACTACCACTTTTAGCTTAGTGTTATCTATTGCCAGGGGGAAGGATCTATTTGTAAGTCATTTAGGACCTATGGATGCTCAAAATTCCACCCTTCCTTTATTGTACATTCCCTGCCATTGCTGCTACTGAAAGTTAAGTTTTGGGCAAAGAAAACGGGTGAGGGAAGAAAGCTTCCCAGACTCACCAGGAAAAAGAAAGGGGGTCGGTGTTGTTACATGGGGGAACAAGAACAAGGTAGTCTCTCCTACAGCCATTTCTTCTTCTCCTTTCCCTTGACAAGAAAGCTTGGGAAAGCAGAAAGTAGAGAAAGTGACTGCAAGAAAGATTGGGAACAAGTTGTCAGAAAAATATTTGCAATAAGTAAGGTTTTCTGAAAATACCCTGCAAAATAGAGCTTTCTCCAATAATTGCCTGAAACAAGCTTCAAAAGATCAGCACCACCCCAGCAAAGTTAGAAACTATCCAATTAACATATTTACAAGCCAATAAGATTTGAAGAAAAAAGTTTCCCTTTGGTGCTGCTGTTTTGGTATTATCAGGTCCTTTGTCTATCTCAAATATATACTGTATAGTCAAGGGTAATGATCAGTACAAGTGACATACAGCTGCTATGTGTATTCGGTAGTCAAGATAAAATGGGAGAGAGAAGCATGCCACTCGAGAAATGATGCCAGAGAGCATTCCCCAGCAGCTAGGTAACAAAAATAGTTGAGACAGACGACCCTGAGTTACTTTCACATTGCTATGCATGTAACTATATGCATATTTTGCAGCTCTGCCAATCCAGGGTTTGGGGATAAACGTTCAGCTGCTACTCCTAGAATAAGAATCTCAAGGTCTCTACCGTATCTTCTACACAATATGAACTTTGGCCAATTCCATGGGACCTTGAAGCAGAAAACAGATTCTAGCTCAGCCACCTTCCAAAAAAAGTGGAAAATTACTAGCTTCAAGCAAGTGTCATGTGTCTCTGAACCCGTTATCTAGTTATACAACACTGGTTTTCATCCACACACAAAACAAAAGGGGTGTAGAAAAATGTGCATTTGTGGAGGAGACAGAATAGGAAGAAATATTTGTAGTTGGTCTGTTCAAAAGCAGCACAATAAAAGAGATGAATAGTAAAACCTGTGACCATTCAGAAAAGGAAGGCTAAGATACTATTTTCTCTTATCAGAAAAAGGACAGGGACAACAAATGTGTTTCCCAAGAAAGTAGATGAGATAACATTGGTCTCCTGCTACTCAGAGCTCCCTGGAAAAACAGACCACACAGCACAGTGTCATTCACCCAACACAAAGCAGTTTTCCAGAGAGTTAAGGCTAGAGTTTCCATTTACAACTAACAAGTCCTACCACATTGACATAAAACCACACATATTCATCCCATTGCCTTCAAGATTCAGTCACAGTAGATTCTTTTGTAGGTTAGCTCCTGAACTCTACCCCTAAAGCTACTTATAGATACAAGGAGGCCCATGTTTAAAGCAACTTAAATATCTGCTTTTTAGTGCACAATAAAACACAAAGCCTTTATTTATTTATTTGAAAAATGTCAGCAAGATACTTACAAACTAATCCTTAAAAAGAAAGGATCCTTTAAAAAAGGTGCAGACGTATTCAACGAGGCTTATTCCTACATATATCCAGGATATGTATGTATACTTCCCAACAGTATAATCCTATGTATGCCTACTCAGAAGTATGTCACCTTGAGTTTAATGGGTTTATTCCAGATATATGTGACAGGCCTATTTACTAGTTATGTAGAAGACAACAGTATTACAGTAAATTTATTCCAAGATGCCATGAAGCCAATCTAGAAAGAAGAACACTGTGTAAGGCAATGTGAAGTATGCTTGATCCCTCCCTTTCCCTTATTCAAAATAAAAGCTACTACTTTTATGTCACTGCTCTGCTAGGATTACAGTTCCCTCCAACACAGCAAATTTGGGTGGCTGAACACCTATCACTCTGGAAACACCCCCCCCCCAAAAAAAAAACCCTAGCAGTTTCTGCATACCCAGAAAACTTCCTAGGGACATTAATACATTTTCAAATTTAAAATCCCAAACGCAGCCTCACAATGATGGGTGAGTTGCCACATCTTACATAATGTCAAAATCACTTGAGCAGGGAGACAAAAGAAACCGATAGGTGCAAATTTAGAAGAAAATGGTTAAAGCCTTAAATTATAGGAGGTATTTTGGAGAAGGGAGATTGCAATCTGACCCAAAACACTCCCTTCCCAACACTATAGAGGACTGTATTCTGGAGATTTTCCTGCAGGTCCCACTTGTAACTATTTATTAGAAATGCTGATTTAGCCGCCACTGGTGATGCATAAAGATTATCTACATAAGCAGGCCAAAATCAACCCAATAAAAACAGCAGTTCTCTCTCCCGGCGCCCGAGGCGAGTCTCCTCTATCCCGTTCTACACATTCTGGGCAGAAGAACTGACATTTCCTCAGTCACCCCAACCAAATAAGTTTCGTTTTCCCTCAGCACTTGAATGCTGAGGGAAAAGGTATGAGTTGTGAAGAAACGATAGAAAGGGAACGAGGGAGAGAAAAAGGGGAGGAGGAGGAGAAGAAGGGCAAAAGGCCAGTGACAATTCCCACCTACCCTCCAGCAAACAGGTGCACGAAAGTGTCTTTCTGGTTCATCTTCTCATGCTCGTCCCAGGAAGACACTCGAGGGGAAGGCGGCGAGAGGATCAGCCTCCGCCCGGCGCTCCTGGGCAGCCTGAGGAGAGAGGAGGACGCGGGGCCAGGAGCGCTGCCATCGGCCTCGGAGAGGAAGGCAGCCCAGGAGGGAGCAGCCTCGGCCCTGCCGCGCTCAGGGGCCCCCACACGACCCTCTCCCAAACGGTTCCTCCTGCCTCAGCCCCGGAGAACTTCCCACCCGGCCGCCGCCGCCGCCTCCTTCCGCCTCCTCGCCTAGCCGGGGATACGCAGCGACAGGCAGCTTCCAAGGCACCAAACGGCCAGGCCCGCTCGCTTCTTCCAACGCGAAACGAGGCCCAATATAAACAGACGCCGCCATTGGCTCGCGGGCGACGTGACGTCGCCGGCCCAAGCTTTAATCAGGCTTTGCGCACGTGATCGGAGGCGCTCAGCGCAGCCAGCGCATCAATGGAAGCGAAGGAGGCGGAGGAGGAGGAGGAAACCGATGCATTTGCAAAAGCTCTAGAGGAGGGAGACAGCGTGCTAAAAGAAGCTGTAGCTTAGGGCCCCACTCTCTTGGGGGACCCGCAAAATTTAATTGCATTTCACTATTAATATACTTCCTAATTGTATTTCATTTTAATAATTCCTTTGATAAAATACATATTTTGTTATGTGCAAGTGGCTTTAGATACCTATTAGGTCCATAAATTATCATATAGCATATATTCAGCACAAAAAACAGCGGCCGTTTGTTGTTGACAAAGGACAGCTGGACATATAAAGGGCCCCAGTAGCTTAGGGCCTCATCAAACCTAAATCCGGACCAGATCCTATGCCGCGCTTATTTGGAAGCAAGCAATGCCCGTTGGACTTTTCGGGAGTTGCTACCCCCCCCCATACTTGAACGCTGAGACGTGCGGTTCACAAGGGAACGTTTAAGCGCGCTATCTGCCTGGATTCCGCAGCAAGGAAAACGCTCACAAGCGTTATCTGCCCGGATTAGAGCGCTATCTCTCCACCTTTGGCTCTTGCAGGTAAAGGGGGACGGACGCACGGGCTGTGCACGCCGCCGGTCTTTTGCAACTCGGTTGCCTGTCCTCTTGGGCCAGAGGGAAAGGGAAAGGAAGTGAGCCTTGTTCAAATCGTTCCTAGGCTTTACGAGATTTATGCTCCTTAAGCCAGAGGTTTCACCCCAAAGCCAATTCCATCTGCCTAGGAGAGGATCTGCAAGCAAACAGGGTTGTTTTGTTGGGTTTTTTGTCCCGGGGCGGGGGGGGGGGTTGCATATTTAATACCAGTCAACATCTATATTGGAATTTCTTTTAATGTGTTTTTATTTTGTCACTTTTTTTAATGCCCTGGGCTACCGAGGGAGGGAGGGCTAGATGTGAATTTAATAAACAAACCCCAAGATACATTTGGTAATAAACAAACCCCAAGATACATTTAATAAACAAACCCCAAGATAAATTTGGTAGAAAACTGGATTTTTAAGACTTGGAGGAAAAGCAAATGGTACCCTTCTCCAGCTTACTGTTCTGTCTACTTCTGTCAGATCATGCAAGTGTTTGATAAATACTAAAAGCGAGTGTGGTGGGGGAAGGTTACATTCACTTTTAGAGATTTATAGTTTCCCCACCATTTTAAGCTTCCTGCCCCAATGGTGTTCAGCAGCCAGGCAACCCCTGCTCTTAGGGCATTTTCCAAACTACTTGCTTCTTTCATGCAATATTTAGTAATTCTTACTGGGCCACAGGATCTTGGAGAAATAGGATTCCCCCATTAACACTCCAAAAGCATGATTAGTGTTGAATGGGATTGCACAAGCACCATAAAAATAACATAGGTGTCACTCTACGCCCCTCCTTCAGCCACCACATGAGCGTTGGGATTGCACTGCTAGGCTACAATTCTTACCTGGGAGTCAGCCCCACTGAATTCAGTATATTTTAGACATGTATAAGATTACATTAACGTTTCAATTGCCTCCCCCTTCGTTTTGCTTCAGCTTCACACCCAACACATTCTTGTGTCCTTTTGGCATATCAATAAGCTGAACCCAAACGAATCCAGTAACTATGAGAATGGAAATTCTTTTAAGTCAGACACATTTGTGCTTCTGTCTTGTATTTTTATGTTGTGAACTGCCCTGAGATCTACGGATTAGGGACAGTATACAAATTTAATAAACAAACAAATAAAAATAAATAAATGGAATCTGGCTTAATCAAGAGCAACATCTCATGAAGAAAAGCCTTTCCTTGTTCATAAACCTTATATAATTCCAGCTCTATGCACACTTACCCAAAATCAAACCCCACTGAATCAAGAGGGCTTTATTCCTGAATAAAAAAGCAGAGGCTCTGGCTATAGAAAAGTGTCCTTAGGATAATTTGGGGGAGGGGAGGGAAGCAGATGACCACATTACATGAATCAATTGGCAGAATTAGAAACACAAAATAAATAGGCCACAGTATAGAAGAGAAACTAAGCTGAATAGGTATAAAAGTTGGGTCTAGCCTAGGAATAGGTAATTATTATTTTTCAGCTTGAAGGCCACATTCCTTTCTGGATGCCGCATATGTAAAACCTGATGAATGATGAATTTTTGTGGTGAACTGCCCTGTGATCTTTGGCTGAAGGGCAGTACACAAATAATAAAGAATGAATGTAAATTCTCCCTTTATACAGTAGGCAGGTTTCTACACACATGCATTCGAACTCCTCTTTATCTACCATCCAGTGACCTAAGCAGCATTGTCAGAGGTAAAAGGCATGTTTTAAACCATGCAAAAACATGAGAGTTAGGAAGCAGGGTGGCTGGGGGGGGGGGTGGCCTGCAGAGAATCCAGAAGGGAGAATCATATACTGTGGTACCTCGGGTTAAGTACTTAATTCATTCCAGAGGTCCGTACTTAACCTGAAACTGTTCTTAACCTGAAGCACCACTTAAGCTAATGGGGCCTCCTATTGCTGCCGCACCGCCGGAGCCCGATTTCTGTTCTCATCCTGAAGCAAAGTTCTTAACCTGAAGCACTATTTCTAGGTTAGCGGAGGCTGTAACCTGAAGCGTATGTAACCTGAGGTACCACTGTAGAGACCAGGAGGGCCACATTTGCCTCCCAGCCCCCAGGCCTGAGGTTCCACATCCCTGATGTGGGTTTTTAAAGCTGAAAGCCACATAATATAATTTGAAACACACACACACACACACAAAAATTCCTTCCAACTCTACAATTCTATGACATTTTCAGCAGCATGCACTGAAAAATTTGCTTGGTTTTCCCCCTAAATGGTTGTTCCTGTACTACCATGAAGTAAGGGGTCCTACATAAATAGTCCAAATATTGACACCTTCATATACAGGGTACCTGTGTGCGCAATCCTAACCCCACTTGTCTGGAGGTAAAACCCCACTAAACTTCAGCATAACTTGCTTCTGAGTAGTTGTGGTCAGGATTGCAGAATGTTGCTTAATTAAGTCCCACACAAAACCAAGCGGTGTAGAGCCACTGTCTCCTCCCCTTTCCCCCAAGCGCAACATACAACCCCAAAAGGTGACGTCACGGCCTTCCCAATTAAGGATGCGAAAGCGGGGGGGGGGAGGGAGAAGAGAGAGATACGGAAGGAAGAGGCTCCTCCGCCCAAAGTCAACACAAGGCGAGAGATTCTGCTCCTTTGCTACCTTCCCACCCCACTCGGGCACTGGATCAGGCCGGGTGCCTGTGCAAAGCCTCTCTTGTTTTGTCAGGAAATCAGCCCTGCCGGATTTCAGAGGGATCCGGATTGCAAGCCTTAGCGCCTACCCCACCCTGCAGCAGTTGCTGCTCCTGCTCCATTTGCACCGCGGCTGCCGCAGCCCAACCGAGAAGCAGAAGGGAAGGTTTTCTCCGGAACGCCGCCTCGGGTCTCTCCCCAGGCGGGCCCGCTTCCCTCCGGGAGTCCCCTTAACACCCCCACCCAGTCGCCTTTTCCCTCCCCGGCAGGCCTTGTGCAAGCAAACCGATCTGGCCCGCTTGCTCCCCGAGCGGATCTCTCTCGCGCTCCTGCAGAGCAGAGGCGCTGCGTTCACACGTTCCTCCCTCTCCCGCGCGCGCCCCCGGCAGCCCCCGCCCGCCCGCTCGCACCTACCCTCCAGCAAACAGATGCACCAGGGTGTCTCTCTGGCTCATTCTCTCTCATTCTCGTCCCCAGCAAAACGGGAGGGAGGCCGGGGAAGGGAAGGACGCGAGGCGGCGCAGCGCACTTCCTTTTCTCCCAGGCTGCTCAATGGCGCAGCGCCGAAGGAGGGGCTCTGCCGGCCGCCCCCTGCAGGCCGAGGAGCGAACTGCGTCTCTGCGGGAAGAGGAGCGAGCGTGTGCCAAAGGAGGAATCCATACTGAAGTGGGGATAAAGGGGTGTGCAATAGCAGACTCTAACCTACGGATCATCTGCCCAGCTAACCCCGTTTCTTTCCGTCGCGCAGGCTCGTGGGTTTGTGCCCAGCATTGGGATGGATAAATAAATAAATAATCCTGCATTGCAGGGGGTTGGACTAGATGACACTAGTTTACCCTTTCAACTACAGTGGTACCTCGGGTTAAGTACTTAGTTCGTTCCGGAGGTCCCTTCTTAACCTGAAACTGCTCTTAACCTGAAGCACCACTTTAGCTAATGGGACCTACTGCTGCTGCCGCGCCGCTGGAGCACGATTTCTGTTCTCATCCTGAAACAAAGTTCTTAACCTGAAGCACTATTTCTGGGTTAGCGGAGTCTGTAACCTGAAGCGTATGTAACCCGAGGTACCACGGTATTGTATACAATTCTATGCTGAGCTTATGGAACTGCTTTATAACGAACTGCCAGTGGTGCCCAAAGTGGGCAGTAGCACCGCCAGGAGGGGCGCAGTGGAATTACCTAGAGGGGGCGCTGAAGGTGTACTATCGGCCTTCGAAAAGCGGCTGGCTACCATGGGGTCAAGTTCATCCACTTTGTGAAAACTAGTTTTAATTGGATTTTGAAGAAACAGGCAATTGTTACTGTTTAGAATTTTTGTTGTGGTCCTTCCCTAGTACAAACCGCGATTCTGAATAAGGTTTTTTAGAGGGTAGCAGGCACTGGGGATGGAACCAAGAGGCAGGAGCAGGACCAAATTTGGGAACCCAGGCTTCTCATAACGTCTCTCCTGCAAAGCCTGCGCCTCGCAGTCGGTTTTTCGCCTTGTGGGGGCAACGCACAGCAGCTCTGCCGCAGGACTCTTCAGTCGGGGCTCTTCAAAGCTCTCCGGATCCCAGACGGCTGTCCCTGAGCCAGACAGACACCTTCCAAATGTGCCTTTTTTGCAAATCCTCCTGCCACCGTCCCTCTCACCAACCCTACTAT